TTGTAGGGATTGATGCAGATTTTGATGGACCATCAAAAGACCGGCCACTGTAGCCTTAACTCCTGAGAGGGCTCAAAGACGCAGTAGCCTCCTCCCGTTATCTTTTCTCGGAGAGGAAATGGGTGATCCCCGTCGGAACCCACCACTCGCCGATCCACCACTCCCTGCTCCTCGAATGGTTCAAATAACCGAGGATGCGCTTCAACGCATGATAGCAGAAGCTTCAACTCGCGCTGCCACAGAGGCCGAGACCCAATATATCGCCGCGATGGGAGCAAATGCTCCCAACGCGATACCAGCACCTGCTCCACATGTGGAGCCACCTATGGCACCACCGCCATCGACTCCCTAGGGGCTTACATCTGCCCCCAAAATATTTCGCTCGCCAAGGGTTATCAACTCCCTGGGGGTATACAGTGCCCCCAAAACATTTCGCTCGCCAAGGGTTATCGACTCCCTGGGGGCTTACGTCTGCCCCTAAAATATTTTGTTCGCCAAGGGTTATCGACTCCCTGGGGGTTCACAGTGCCCCCAAAACATTTCATTCGCCATGGGTCATCAACTTCTACTTGCTCCTCTAACGGTTCAGATAACCGAGGAGGCCCTTCAACTTATGATTACGGAAGATTCTTCCCGCGTTGCTACTGAAGCAGTAGCACAACACATCGCCACAACGGAAACCAACGCTCCTCCTGTGGCTCCACCCATAGCACAACCTCAGAACAACAACCAACTTGCCACGTGCAGGTTCAGGTTTGACATGTCTCAGGACGTCGTGACCGAGATCCCCTTCTAGACCCCCTCGTGATGATCCTCGAGGCTATCTTCAAGATGACACTTGAGGTCGCGCCCCAGATCCACTTCGAAACCTTCAGCAAGACCCTCATCAACCAGCTCCACCTCACATGGTTCAGATAACCAAAGAGGATATTCGACATATGATCGACTAGGCCATTCAGATGTCAACTACATCTGATGTCATACTTCGAATACATCAGATGTCCTACTTCAACTACATCTGATGTCATACCTAAGGTACATCAGATGTCCTACTTCAGCTACATCTGCTGTCATACCTCAGGTACATCAGATGTCAACTACATCTGATGTCATACTTCGAGTACATCAGATGTCTTACTTCAACTACATCTGATGTCATACCTAAGGTACATCAGATGTCCTACTTCAGCTACATCTGCTGTCATACCTCAGGTACATCAGATGTCAACTACATCTGATGTCATACTTCGGATACATCAGATGTCCTACTTCAACCACATCTGATGTCATACCTAAGGTACATCAGATGTCCTACTTCAACTACATCTGATGTCATACCTCAGGTAGGGGTGTAAACGAGCCGAGCTCGAGCCGAGCTCGCCTCTTTTGGCTGGCTCGAGCTCGAGCTCGAGTTTATTTTGTTGAGCTCGAGCTCGAGCTCGCGAGCTCCTCTTTTTTTGGCTCGAGCTCGAGCTCGTGTCAGTTGTGTCGAGCTCGAGCTCGAGCTCGAGCTCGAGCTCGAGCCCATTGTCTTTTTTTTTTTTTTTTTAAATATTTTTTTAATTATTATTTTATTATTAAAAATTATTTAAAAAAATAAAAAATAAAAACTAAATTGTAATTATATATATTTTTAATATTTGTATTTATTTCTATAATATTTTACATTATTATACATTATTTAAATAAAAATAACATATAAAAAATAAAATAAAAAATAATAAATCCGGCTCGCGAGCCGGCTCGCGAGCTCATGAACAACTGAAAACCGGCTCGAGCTCGGCTCATCAGAAAGCTCGAGCTCGCGAGCTCGAGCTCGAGCTCGAAAATCTCGAGTTCGAGTTCGAGCTTTTTACGAGCCGGCTCTTCGAGCTCACGAGTCGGCTCGGCTCGTTTACACCCCTAACCTCAGGTTCATCAGATGTCATGCTTCAGCTACATCTGATGTCATACCTCAGGTACATCAGATGTCAACTACATCTAATGTCACACTTCAGGTACATCAGATGTCAACTACATCTGATGTCATACTTCGAGTACATCAGATGTCCTACTTCAACTACATCTGATGTCATACCTCAGGTACCTCAGATGTCATGCTTCAGATACATCAGATGTCATACATCAGGTACATCAGATGTCAACTACATCTGATGTCATACTTCGAGTACATCAGATGTCCCACTTCAACTACATCTGATGTCATACCTAAGGTACATCAGATGTCCTACTTCAGCTACATCTGATGTCATACCTCAGGTACATCAGATGTCATGCTTCAGCTACATCTGATGTCATACCTCAGGTACATCAGATGTCAGCTACATCTGATATCATACCTCAGGTACATCAGATGTCAACTACTTCTGATGTCATACTTCGAGTACATCAGATGTCCTACTTCA